TGTGTGTGTGTGTGTGTGTGTGTGTGTGTGTGTGTGTGTGTGTGTGTTTGTCAGACAGTCTATGTATCACAGGCTGCCATAGAACTCACAGCCCTTAAGCTTCAGCCTCCTGATTATTGTTCACAGGTACGCACTACCATATGTAGCTCCATTGGAAGTTTCTTGATGGGAATCTCAAATTCTGCACTATCTAATACAATAGCCACTCTCCACATATTGTCATTGAACACATAAAATGTGACTTTCGCAAGTTAAGAACTAATTATTTTCTCTATTGAACAGTGAACTTCTAGGCCTACCATAAAGCCTGACAAACATTTTGACCTGAAGCCTTTAGTTCACAGAAAGGAGAGATCAAAAGGTTAAAAGAACAAAATGTCTTATGGAAAGAGCCTTTCAAGTATATGGAGCTCAAGTTTTGGCTCATCTCCTTCATTCTTATCCCACAGACTAAAAAAAAGCCATGAACACAATTCTCAGTGACCTGCAATCCATTACCTTTTCTGACACAGTTAACATCTGTTAAGTTGAAGGCTCAATCCAGACCACTGTACAGAATATCCATAGTGCCAAAAATTACCTCAGTAGCATGGAAGCATTTATTTGCAAGCATTTGCCCTGGTTCTGATTTTTGTTAAATCTTGTTTCAAACAATTACTCAATTCTCCCAGATCTATTGCCTCTGCCATCTAAGCCATCTTTTACTCTGTGGCAAGAAAGGTTGTGGTTCTGGTTTTGGGTGGCTGTCATCTGACTTAGAGAATAAAATGATCCTACCCACCCCAACCCTCCCATACACACACACCCTGGGAAACAATCAAAGAATGGTCTGAGACAGGGAGTGATAAAAAAAAGGACATATGCCCCCCACCCCTGCTATCTGGTCCCTTGAATCAGGGTCAGAGTGAAGGAGTTAGGAAAGATAAGCAGTGGGAACAGCACAGCATGAGAAAAGATAAAGTGGGAGGATGAGCCTGGGAATGTGATATGGTACCAGTGTGGCTCTAATGGGGGTAAGAAATGGCCTGAGAAAGTAGTCTCACAGTCTGCTCCCCAATTAGGGACCTACATCGATGCAGCCTTGTTGGCAACTGCTTCGGTGCTGAACCATAGCAACCAGGAGCCTGGAAAGTGCCGTGGTGTGGAACAGATTCCTCTTATCATGTTCCTGACAGATGGGGAACCCACAGCCGGCAAGACAACTCCCAATGTGATCCTTTCCAACATCCGTCAGGCCCTGGGCCACAGGGTATCTCTTTTCAACTTGGCCTTTGGGGATGGTACTGACTTCTCACCGGTGCATCGTTTATCCCTGGAGAACCAAAGAGAAGCGAGGCACATATATGAGGACGCAGAGGCAGACCTGCAACTAGAGGGTCTCTTTGAGGAGATTTCCAAGCCTCTACAGTCAGATGTGCACCTGGACTACCTGGGTGGCTTTGTTGGGGCCTCCTCTAGGGCTCTTTTCCATAACTACTTTTGTGGCTCAGAGTTGGTAGGAGCTGGTAAGATGCAGCCAAGTGAGCAGGGACTAGGTATCCACCTGGCAGCCCGGGGCATAAATGGTCAGCTTCTTGTGCCCCAATTCAGTGAAGAAGCCACCAACAGTTGCCAGAAAGACTTTAGTTGCTCAGGGAAACATACCTTCAGTGTGTCCCACTTTATCCACGGCCTGTGGGCCTATGTCTCTATTGGGGAGCTGCTGGAGGCATGCTTCCAAGCCTGGGATGCTACCACTTGCCATCTCCTGAACTCCAAAGCCCTCAGCTTATCACTTAAATACAACTTTGTTACACCTCTGACTTTACTGGTCATGGCGCACCTTGAGAAGATCAATGAGGAAGCTGTGAGGCAGCTATCCACCACAGCTGAGACAAGCACAGTCACACCCTCATTCAGCAACAGCCTTGGCCTAGGAGCTAGCACAGCTCGGATAGACTCAGTTCTCAAAGTCTCTTCCAAATCAAGGCTCATGAAACCAACCTCAGCTCTTACTGGCCCTACAGATTCCAAGGAGATAGGGGTACTGACTCAGTTCTCTAATAGCCTAACAGCTTCAGTGCCACCAAAGGCCCAAACTTCAACACAAGAAAATCCCAGCACCTTGGTACTGCCAACTTTGAAGAGGAAACCTCTTGCCCATGTGCCTTCAAATTCTAATGACTCATTCCCTTGGAAGCCCAGCATTTCATCACACCAGAACCCTGGTATCACATCACTTGTTAATTCTAGGACACGTGTCCTGCCTTTGAATCCTGTCAGTCCTTCCCAGCCCAAAGGTGGCACCATGAAACATTTTAATCAATTTACTCCTTCCAAACTCCCTGCTTTGTCAGATGCCCAACCTACACCAAATGCCACATGATACCATCAACCTTGGTAACCCATTATCACAGTCACTCCAAAGCCTGCCACAGATCAAATCTATTTCCACACTTCAGTTACCCAAACAGCCATTACACCTCAGCTCCAAAAGTCTTGCTTCCAGGACTCCCCCAAATTTACCACACCCTAAAACAGGGATTGTCCTGCTCAAGTCTTCTAAAATCCCTTCATCTCGAAAATCTAGTGTCTCATCTCACCAAACTTCTACTAGCTTACTACTACTTTCCAAGTCCAGAACCCCAACTCCCTACAGCACCTAAATCCGCTTGCCTGCCAGAGCCAGGCCACTAGTTCCTCAGGGCCTCGGCACATTCTCAAACATACTCTCAAGTTCCAGAGGTCCCAGCAATACAATTTTCACCTCTACCCCTGGGGAACCTCTCTCTTCTTCCTTTACCCCTACTCTGACTTCTCTGCTGCTGCCCACTGCAAGATTCTGGAATCACCAAGACCCACTGCTAGGACCCAAGAGCACCAGGCAAGTTCTGGGACCATCTCTGTCAGAGATGGCTCTACCCAACAGCTCTAGTCTGATGCCAGAAGACAGATTCCCAAAACCTCCCAATCTTGCTGCCTTCCAGCATTCTCCCGGAGGCCATCAGTCTTCACTTTCTTCCAGAGAAGCTCAAGCTGCTGCCAGCATCGGTGGAAGAGTCCAAATTCGTGGAGTCCTTGAACCCTCCAGTCTTCTACACCTTCCTCACTCTTGACAAAGATGGTGAGTGTTACTGGCAAGAGGCCAAGCCAGAGTGGAGGAGGGTGAGTGGAGAGGGCAGAAGCTGAGAGTGTCTGAGGTATGTATGGATTCTAATAAGCTCCAAGAAGCTCCCTGGCTTGCTTTGGGTCTTTGGACTAGTTAACATCTCTAGACCTCAGTATATAGCTACAGAATGAAAAGCCTTGGCTCATAAGACTGGAAGGGCTAAACAGTAGCAAACTGGCTGAACTAAAGTTGACCGTTATCTTGTTGAAAAAGAGAGTGGTTGCTGACTCCCAAGCAAGGGAGGAATGTGGTAGCATAAATTGGAGCATCACTAGGTAAGGCAGGTCTTCCTGTTGTTCTGTGTTCTGTGAGCAGCCTACTTAATAAAAGATATATACATTTTAGAGAAAATAGTGGCAATTACTATAACATTTCCCAAGGACTTAAGTAATATTTTCCAGCTCTCCCTATGTGCAGGTACTTTTCTTCATATCATGTTTCTAATTCAGCATTTAAAACCCCATGAGCAACTATTGTTATGTGCATTTTATACACAGGGTAACTGAAGCACAGAGAAGTGAATCAATGTGTTTAATGTTACACTGCTAGTCAGAGACTAAAAACCATATAGTCTGGTAGCAAAAAGAAATGTGTTTTGCCACCCACTATTTTATTTTCTTTGCACAAGAGGAATCTCTTGGGTTTCTTGATAGCACAGGGTTAGAAAGGATTACACGCAGCAATGATTCACAGGAACATAATTTTGGGTAACATCTTTGACATACTTTCTGCCTCACTTCCCCCAATATCTCACTCACCTCTACAACCTGGTTACTTTTCCAAACTTTATTGTCCAAACCTACTGATTTCCCATGACCTCAACTGCTGCTACTACAGATCAGACAAACTCTACCATCTTATCTAAAACAGCTGTTCTGCCTCCTCACCTGTCTTACCTGTTTGTGTCTTTTCTTGCCTCTCTTCTCTTGCCCACATTTTCAAAGAAACAGATAAGTTCGTGTTCCTTTCCTACATAATGCTCCTCCGGGATTTCTCTTACACCTGGAATAAAATTCAGTCTTCTTTATGCCCTGCAAGGTCCTGCATGCTCTGTTCTGTATGCCCACACAATGCCTGACTTCACCTTCTTCCACTCTTCCATTCACCCTCTGAACTCTAGACACCTGTTATTTTTCCTCTCCCCTCCCACTGCGGCCTCCCCAGTCATCACTTAGGTACTTCTTTCTGTCTACTGCTTCTTGATACTTACCTGGTCTGCCCTTTCCTATACTCCTCATTTTTTCCATACCCCTAACACTCCAGCCTGTACCTTGGATCTCAGACCAGCTCCTATACCCGCCTTCCTCCACAGGACACTTCAGCCTTGTATTACCCCATGATCAGTCCAATTTTTTTTTTTTTTTGTATAGCATCTGCCACCATTGATAATCATGCCTATGATGTTACACCACATAACAAACCATATCTCACCATTGTATCCTCACGCCTAAGTATTGCCTGGATAAATGAATGAATGAATGAATGAATGAATGAATGAATAAACAGATGGACGTGTAGGTGCTATGAGAAAGAAATTTGAATCTGAGTTTGAAAAAAGCTATAACAGATATAGACATAAGCACGTCAGTTTGGATAGCAACTGGGGACTCTCCCAGTAAGGAGGGAAAAAAAGGACCAGATATGGAGGTCACATAGAATCCTGGCACCTGGGAGGCTGTGTCATTAGGATCAGTAGCTGGAGGAAAGCCTGCACTCTACAGTGAGACCCTGTCTTCTGTTTGATCCAGGCATGGGTAGAATTTCTTTCTTTACATTTGGCAGGATGACACTGGGATAGCAGTTCCAAGAGGATCCAGGGAGGAACTGAACATGACATGGACTCTAAGGAAAGTTCTGTGGAGCTAATAAAAGGTAGACAAGGGCTTCTTCTGGCAAAGATTCCTCTAAGCCCTCGTTTCTATTCAGTGCTATTTGGAGCTATCATTGACAATGTGTGAGCCCAGAGGAGGGGCAATATATTAATTCTTCATCTCCATGTAACAAATTACCATAAATTGAGCAGTTTAAAACAACACGTATTGGAGAATCAGTTTTCTCCAGTGGAGTCTCACTGAGTTTATCAACCACACATCAGAACAGGTCCTATTATTTTAGCTAACACTGAATTAATTAAATGGTGTTTTTGTAGACTTTTTGTCTCATATTGCTTTGTTTGGACAGGTTTTTTATATTATTGGTCTTTTGCTTGTTTTTCTTTAATTTTAATTTTTGTGTTTTTCTGTCTCTTGTGTTTTTGTTTCTTGTTTCTTTGTTTTTGAGAGGAGGAGAGAGAGAGAGAACATATAGTCAGGTGTGTAGGGAGGTGAGGAGGATCTGGGAGGAATTGAAAGGAGAAACATGACTAAAATATATAATATGAATTTTTTCAATAAAAAATAAGACAGCATCATTTCCTTCATTCATGTTCTCCTGCTGTAACAGAATGCTACGACATGGGTAATTTATAAAGAAGAGAGGTTTGTTCATCTCACAGTTCTGGATTCCGGTCTGGTTATATGGCTACATCTCTTCAGAATTTCCTTGATGGTTGGAAATCTGCAGAATCTCAAAGCAATGTGAGGCATCACTCAGAAAGACAAAGGCAACCAAAAGAGGTGGCTTTTAGGATAACCACCCTCTAATAATACATTGATCCATCACTTGAAGGATAACTAGAAATTAATTTAAGTAAGAAAAAAACATTTAAATGTTTCTCTGCCATTCGATATTCTTCTATTGAGAATTCTCTGTTTAGTTTTGTACCCCATTTTTTGGGTTATATTTTTTTATTTTTTATTAATTACACTTTATTCATTTTGTATCCCCCCATAAGCCCCTCCCTCCTCCCCTCCCGATCCCACTCTCCCTCCCCTTTCTGCATGCATGCCACTCCCCAAGTCCACTGATAGGGGAGGTTCTCCTCTCCTTTCTGATCTTAGTCTATCAGTTCTCATCAAAAGTGGCTGCATTGTCCTCTACTGTGGCCTGGTAAGGCTGCTCCCCCCTCAGGGGGAGGTAATTAAAGAGCAGGCCAATCAGATTATGTCAGAGGCAGTCCCTCTTCCCATTACTATGTAACCCACTTGGACACTGAACTGCCATGGGCTACACCTGTGCAGGGGTTCCAGGTCATCTCCACGAATAGTCCTTGGTTGGAGTATGAGTCTCTGGGAAGTTCCCTGTGTTCAAATTATCTTGTTCTGTTGCTCTGCTTGTGGAGTTCCCATCCCCTCCAGCTCTTACTATTTCCCACTTCTTACATAAAATTCCATTCACTCTGCCCAACAGTTGGCCATCAGGCTCAGCATCTGCTTTGACAGTCTATACTGCAGAGGCTTTCAGAGGCCCTCTGTGGCAGGTTCCAAGGTTGTTTCCTGTTTTCTTCTGGCTTTCAGAGGCCCTCTGTAGCAGGTTCCGAGGTTGTTTCCTATTTTCTTTTTCTTCTGATGTCCATCCTCTTTGCCTTTCAGGATGGGGATTGAACATTTTAGTTAGGGTCCTCTCTTTTGCTTAGTTTGTTTAGATGTACAGATTTTAGTGGGTTTATTCTATGTTGTATGTTTATATGAGTGAGTATATTCCATGCGTGTCTTTTTGCTTCTGGGACAACTCACTCAGGATGATCCTTTCCAGGTCCCACCATTTACCTGCAAATTTCATGATTTCCTTATTTTTCATTGCTGAGTAATACTCCATTGTATAGATGTACCACAGTTTCTGCATCCATTCTTCAGTTGAGGGGCATCTGGGCTGTTTCCAGCTTCTGGCTATTACAAATAAAGCTACTACAAACATGGTTGAGCAAATGTCCTTTTTGTGTACTTGAGCTTCTTTTGGGTATATGCCTAGGAGTGGTATGGCTGGATCTTGAGGAAGCGCTATTCCTAGTTGTCTGAGAAAGTGCCAGATTGATTTCCAGAGTGGTTGTACAAGTTTACATTCCCACCAGCAGTGGAAGAGGGTTCCTCTTTCTCCCCAACCTCTCCAGCATGTGTTGTCCCTTCAGTTTTTGATCTTGGCCATTCTGATGGGTGTAAGGTGAAATCTTAGGGTTGTTTTGATTTGCATTTCCCTAATGGCTAATGAAGTTGAGCATTTCTTTAAGTGCTTCTCTGCCATTCGATATTCCTCTACAGAGAGTTCTCTGTTTAGCTCTGTTCCCCATTTTTTAAGTGGATTACTTGGTTTGCTGCTTTTCAGCTTCTTTAGTTCTTTATATATACTGGATATGAGTCCTCTGTCAGATAAAGGGTTGGTGATGATTCTTTCCCAATCTGTAGGCAGTCACTTTGTTTTGATGATGGTGTCCTTTGCTTTACAGAAGCTTTTCAATTTCATGAGGTCCCATTTATTGATTGTTGCTCTTAGAGCCTGTGCTGTTGGTGTTCTGTTCAGGAAGTTTTCTCCTGTACCAATGAGTTCTAGGGTATTCCCCACTGTTTTTTCTAGTCGATTTAATGTGTTTGGTTTTATGTTGAGGTCTTTGATCCACTTGGACTTCAGTTTTGTGCAGGGTGATAAGTATGGATCTATTTTCATTTTTCTACATGTAGACATCCAGTTGGACCAGCACCATTTGTTGAAGATGCTATCTTTTTTCCATTGTATAGTTTTGGCATCTTTGTCAAAAATCCATTTTTTGGACTATTTGATTTGTTGCTGTTTAACTTCTTGAGTTCTTTATATATTCTGGATATTAGCCCTCTGTCAGATATAGGGTTTGTGAAGATCTTTTTCCAATCTGTAGGCTGTTGTTTTGTTCTAATGACAGTGTACTTTGCTTTACAGAAGATTTTCAGTTTCATGAAGTCCCATTTATTGATTGTTGATTTTAGAGCCAGTGCTGTTGGTGTTCTGTTCAGGAAGCTGTCTAGAAAAAAACGAATGAAAAGAAGGAAGGAAGGAAGGAAGGAAGGAAGGAAGGAAGGAAGGAAGGAAGGAAGGAAGGGAAAAAAACATTCCAAATGGCAAGAAAAACAAGAAGTAGCAAACAAAGACCAAGCAGTCATAACAACTGTCAGTTCAGGGTCTAGTGTGATGGTCATGTGTGATCCCAGCACTCAGGAGGTTGAGAGAAAGAGGACTGAGAGTGGGCTATACAGTGAGACCCTGACTCAAAGAAAAACATTAGTAAATAAGTCAGTTTACTAGGATAGGATAAAGCATAAAGACAAAATTCGAGGAATAATTTTCAGAAAACATTTAAATATTGAGATATGGAATGTAGTTCCTACCTAGGACTCAAGCAGGAGGGTCCCAGGGTTGTTGGGGGTCAGTTCCTTACCAATATATGTCCTCTATCCTTTGCAGGCACATTGCCAGGCATCTTCACTTTCTCATCTTCTGGTAATCCACTTGAACCTCCCCACTTGTGCACTGGGGGTTGACAGTAGGCTCTCTCTCTTTCTCCCTCTTCCTCTCCCCTTCTTGTTTTTCCTCTCCCTCCTCTTCCTCCCCTCTCTCTCCCGGAAAATAGAAATGGCCTCTTTCAGTCCCCTCTACTCCTTTCTCCTCTTTCTTCAAGACTCAACTTCAGAGGTTCATCTCCTGCCTCACAGTGGATGGGGACCCCCACTTTGTGATTCACATTCCTCACTCAGATGAAAAGATCTGCTTCACATTGGATGGGTGCCCAGGGGACCTACTGCAGCTTATAGATGACCCTAAGACAGGTGAGAACCCCTAGGACTCCATTGCCACACAAGACCACAGCTGAGGATGTTGACTGTTGACTCTTGTCAACAGTCCTAGACATTTAGCATTTTATTATGTATATCTTATAGTATATAAAATAATGACACATCTAACGCACTACATTATAAAGAGAGTTTGTGTTGCCTTACAATGCATATATGTATAAGTATTTATGTTATAATATATGCTCTCTATATTTATATACTTTATATTTTATGGCATATAAAATATATAATTGTATATAGTACCTTGTAATATACAGTAATATACAACAACGCATATGAAAATAAACATATGACTCACAAACATCTGTAACTCCAGTTCTGGGGAGATCTAACTTTCTCTTCTGACCTTCATAGACACCAGGCATGCACATGGTGCACATACACACAGACATACATGCATATATACATACATATAGGCAAATAATTCACACACATAAATAATATATAGATAAATCTAAAGCTAGGCATAGTGGTGCACCCTTTTAATCCCAGTATTCAGGAGGCAGAGGCAGAAGGATGCTCCATGAGTTTGAGGCCAGGCTGCTCTATATAGCGAGTACCAGGACAGCCAAAGCAACATAGTAACATGCCATCTCAAAAATAAATAAAATTTAAAAGTGAAAACAAGCACATTCACAAAAACATCAAGATAAAAATACATACCAGGGCAGATGGTAAGTTATTTTGACATTCTGTATACCCATAAATATGTATATTTGTACCACATAGTAACCCAGACGTATCAACAATTCACACATAGAAACCCTGATGCATCTGGATTCATCCCAATCTCCAGGAATCAAATACATAGAGGCAGCACATATTCTCTTGCACGTCAGGACTACCCCATTACAGTAAGCTGCATCCGTATTTGTTCAAGGTGAGGGCACCTTGCACTTACGCTGGGAACCCTGGTAAAGAAGCCCCAGCTGGAGCTCCGTGTGGCTTCTGCATGCCATCTTACCCTCTGCCTTAGGCCCCACCTAAGCTTCCTCATCCTTCATCATCAGTACAGACACCCCAGCACACAACAGCTACCCTACTTGGTCTGAGGCCCAACGTCTCAGCCAGTGGCCTGATGGGTAAGTGCCACTGAGGCAGAGAGGGACCAAGGTGTACCAGTCCTAACAGATTCCTCTTTCTTTTCCTTTTGCTTGCTTGCTTGCTTTTTATTTTTGTGTACATGAATGCTTTGCTTTCACATATATTTGTGCACCACTTGTATGCTGGGTATCCCTGGAGGCCAAAAGAGGGCCCTACGTTCCCTGAAACTAGACTTAAAGAAGTTTGTGAGCCCATATGTGTACAGACAACCAAACTCAGACGATTAGAAAAGAGATCAAATGATCTTAACCTCTGAGCCTTCTCTCCAGTCCAGGAACTTCTTTCTTTCTTTTTCTTTCTTTCTTTCTTTCTTTCTTTCTTTCTTTCCTTCCTTCCTTCTTTCTTTCTTTCTTTTTCTGCCTTCCTTCTTTCCTTCCTTCCTTTCTTTCTTTCCTTATTTCTTTCTTTCCTTCTTCCTTTCCTTCCTTCTTTCTTTCTTTCTTTCTTTCTTTCCTTCTTTCTTTCTTTCCTCAAGGTTGAAGTTCTACTGGGCCCCTCATATTCGGTAATCCCAACTTGAAAGAGAAATGAAAATCAAATTCTGCCTTTAGAAAGCTCCTCTTATGGAAAAAGGAAAGAGCCAGACATGAAATACTGCTCCCAGGGAGGGGTGAGTGCAAAGCAGAATGCTGCACAGGAAGCTAGGGTGGGAAACTTCCCAGGGTGGAAAACTTTTCCCAGCCTTCTCAGAGCTCAAGAAAGACCTCTCAGAAGTGGGAGGGCATTGATTGCATCTGGAAAGCTAAGCAGAAATGCAGGGGGAAGGGAATGGAGACTGGAGGAGCTAGGGCTAGCATGATCGAGCTGAAATGTCAGCGTGAGGAATTTGGTCTTATCTCAAAGACACTAGAGGAGTCATTAAAGTTTTAAACAGAGAAAAGACATAGCAAGGTCTTAGTATTATAAAGAAGCATCCAAAAGTGGACTGTAGGTACCTAAGTCAGAAGACTCTGGCAGCGCCTGAGGCCAGGGATGATAAATTGAACAGATTATTTTCACCTCCCCCTGGCTCCTTGAACTTCTTCCCCTGTATCTTCCTGTTTTTTTTCTAAGCCCAGCTGCTGTCTTTATCTCTGCTATCTTGACTCTCCACTTCCACATCACATCCCTATCCCATCTGGCTCTTCTATGCTCTACACATTATTTAGCGTCTCCCCTCCGGTAAGCCTGACACTCTATCCTGCCACTTTGCTTCTAGAGTTCCTGCTTCTAGGCCTCCCCAGAGTTCTAATTGGTGCTACATCTTCTCTCCCTCAGGACAGTTTCAACAGAGAGACATCCAGCTGGTAACAGGACCTACTGGGTCTTTTTTACAGAGGCACCATGGCCCAAATGTACCAGTGGTACTAGGCAAGAGGCTGCTGAAAGAATCACCAAGGCTGCTTCCCCCATGGGCTTTATGCTGGCTGGTGAAAAGTTCTCATGTAGAACAGCTGCTGGGTCAGCCCTACCTTGCCTACGTTCAGTGAATAGCTCCTGAACCCAGAGCCAGGAGGTCTGAAATTTGTAAATCCAGAGGCTGTGAAATGGAGTAACCATGACACAGGCCTGGGTACATGTGAATCACATAAAGGTTGTATACACATGTGCTAATAAACAAATATATCAGGATAAACAAAGATACATAAAGCTAAGAAGAACTTTGGGCCTAAAAGCTTTTTAGTACTCTTGCCTTGCTTATAGTCTTGTTTATAGGTCCTACTCCTTCCAAATTCACATTAGCCCTGGAAGTGACTTTCTTTTTTATTCATTCTTTGAAAATTTCACACATGTATTCAATGTATTTTGATCATATCAACCTCCCATTCCTCCTTCTATTACTCTAAGAATCCCCCACCTCACCTCCTTATCCCCATCCCAACTTCCTTTTCTTTTTTTTATAGCCTTTCTTAAGTAGGTCACTGAGTGACCAACCCATCCCATTCACAGCACCCCTTTATTCCTGCACTGTACTCACAGCTCTTGGAATTCCTCTAATAAGCTATGATCTTCCCCATCACTGGACTTCTGTATGTATTTATCCTTTTGTTGGGGGGAGCACTCTTCTTTTGCTTCATCTAGGCAAACTCACTTCATCTTTCAAGTATTAGTTTTCACCTCCCCCAGAAGGCATTCCCTGGCCCTTCCACAAGGTTGAGTTTGGTGCCTGCTTTATGTTCCCTTCAAGCTCACAGCATTTTTTATACTGTGCAGTAATCATGTTTACTCATCTGGATCCCTGCTGAGACTGTAAGCTTTCCAAAAGCACATATGTGTTCTAAATCCTCTGTACAGCCACAGTTCATGGCACATGGTAGGTACTTAATAAATATTGGTAGGATAAATAAATGAACAACAGTAACTATGAAATAGCAGTAGGCAACATACATATATGCAACCAAAGTCATAGGTCACATTCAGAAAAAGAGCCACAAATATACAAGCATGGAAATATAGTGACAGAGAAGACATAGCAGCAGAAAATATAGGGAACTCAATGAAACATGGACAGCTGGGCATGGAGCCATATGCTAAGATCTCAGAATGTGGAAGGCTGAGACAGGAAGACAGCTGCAGTTTCTAGGTGAGTTTGAGACCAAAATGAGCTATAAGGTAAGGCCCTGTCTCAAAGAACACTAACAAAAAGAGAAACATAGACATATGGACACAAAACATAAAAAAGACAGGGTGCCAGAGTGACTATATCAGAGACAAAAACATATGCTTTCTTGCTAGAGTTCTATGGTTCCCATGACTTTGATTTATTGTCCCTTCACAGAAATGCAAAGAGACAAAAACAAGACACCTTTGGATCAAACATACAATGGCAAATGTGAAGAAAAGATACACAACTACATACAAACCAATAGACACAGCGATTCAGACTAGATGAGAGAGACTAAGATCACAGAAACATAGAAACATAATGATACAAAGACAACCAGAAAGACACTGGTCATAGTCACAGTCTACAAAACCAAGGGCAAAAAATGTAGAGTCATGGAAATACTCTAACACACTGATTTTCAGCCATAGGTGGAGATGAGATGATAATACAGAGGTGCAATAGCAGAGATGTGAAAGGTGTGGAAGCAGACATTGCAAAGTCACATGTAATGGCAAAGATTCAGTGCTATTAGCACATGCAGAAGAATGAGTCAACAGCACAGATCCACATACTCCAAGATCCAGAGAAAAAGAAGGAAGGCCCCTGAGCAGCGAAAAACAACAACAAAAAAGAGATAGAAATCAGGCTAGCCAGCACAGACATAAGGAAAGGCCGGGTACCAACTGAGGTACAATGGGGCACGGTGATGCAGTGACAGCAAGGAAGTGGCATGAAAATTCAGAGACAGAAGTACTAGACATGGGAATGTGATCCCACAAATCCAGTCACATGGACCTAAGGTAGATTTATAAACAGAAATAGAGAGATATGCCTGGGAAAGGAAAAAATAAGAAGAAGGAAGACTAGACACAGGATATAGGACGAAGGAAGAAGTACAATGATGAGAAAGGTAAGGAGGCAAAAACACTGAATCCGGCTATACCCAAGGACACCAACATTTCACACACTGTGACATATAGCAGGCAACAAAGCAAGGCTACAAATGAAAGGATGAGAACAGTGATTTCAACCTAAGATGGGGGCTCGATGATTAGGAAGCATGGCTCCAGACCCACAGACAAAATAGAATGGTAAAGACATGAAACCAAGGACAGTGAGACAAAAAGAAACAGATGCAGAGAAACAGACTCACAGAAATGGGAATATCATCACGTGGAATTCAAGACAAAGACACAAGAACTAAGAGAGTACAGTTTTTTTTTTTCCTTGTTTTATAATTATGTTTTATTTTATACATTAATGTTTTTGGTATGACATTTTGATGTGTTGTCTGTTTTGAAGGTGATTCCTAACTTTTGATTTTAAGTATTTTCAAGGTGTCTCTGTACTTATTATTTTTTTTAATTTTTTTTCTTAATTACACTTTATTCATTTTGTATCCCCCGATAAGCCCCTCCCTCCTCCCCTCCCGATCCCTCCCTCCCTCCCCTTTCTGCATGCATGCCACTCCCCAAGTCCACTGATAGGGGAGGTTCTCCTCTCCTTTCTGATCTTAGTCTATCAGTTCTCATCAAAAGTGGCTGCATTGTCCTCTTCTGTGGCCTGGTAAGGCTGCTCCCCCCCCTCAGGGGGAGGTGATCAAAGAGCAGGCCAATCAGATTATGTCAGAGGCAGTCCCTCTTCCCATTACTATGTAACCCACTTGGACACTGAACTGCCATGGGCTACATCTGTGCAGGGGTTCTAGGTTATCTCCATGAATAGTCCTTGGTTGGAGTATGAGTCTCTGGGAAGTTCCCTGTGTTCAAATTTTCTTGTTCTGTTGCTCTCCTTGTGGAGTTCCTGTCCTCTCCAGCTCTTACTATTTCCCACTTCTTACATAAAATTCCATTCACTCTGCCCAACAGTTGGCCATCAGGCTCAGCATCTGCTTTGATAGTCTGCAGGGCAGAGGCTTTCAGAGGCCGTCTGTGGTAGGTTCCTTGTTTGTTTTCCGTTTTCTTCTTCTGGCTTTCAGAAGCCCTCTGTAGAAGGTTCCTAGGTTGTTTCCTGTTTTCTTCTTCTTCTGATGTCCATCCTCTTTGACTTTCAGGATGGGAAGAGAGTACAGTTTTAATAGTATACCTAATCACACACAAACTTGACAAAATGTGGGAATGAAAGATCAAGTTTCAGAGATGCACAGACTTGAGGACTCTTTCATATCAGGGACATGGAAGTCAGCATATGCAGACCATAAGCATTCAGACACTGTCTGGAACAAAGGAACTCAGGGACATACATGCTGGATCACAGAGTGTCTAGTACATGTCACACGAAAATGAGAACAAATTGAGAGTGAAATACAGAGGCTGGTAGATACCCAATCACCTTGTATAGCCACTAAGTAGCATACAAACACACTCAAAGCCAGGTAAAGATTCTGGATATACAGACTCAGGGATGCACAAAAACATATGAAGAATTATGAATATGCAAAAATGAGAGACCTGTAAAAAATCACTGGAGCCTGACATGGTGGTGGTGCATGCCTTTAATCCCAGCACAAGGGAGACAGAAGCAGGTAGATCACTGTCAGTTTGGGGCCAACCTGGTCACAAAGTGACTCCAGCACAGCCAAGGCTACACAGAAAAATTCTGTCACAATAATTATAATAAAAAAAAACCACAACAACCACTGGTAAATAATCAGTAATAAAATAATGAGTGATATACAGAAAAGGGGCACACACATGTACTCAACAAATAGCAACTCACTAGATAAGCAGAGATTTGTGGGCACATAGTAACAGAAAGACAGATACTAGAAAAGAAGCTCGGGGTATGTTAAATCTCAGGTACATTCAAGAGTAAGGATGCATAGGCATTTAAACGTACAGCACATGGAAACAAGGTCAGAAGTTAGGAATACAATATCAGAGGGATACCCATAGATCTGGCTAGGTTGGTACTGAAACAGAGAATGATAGAGTTTATGGCATAGAGAAGTATTAAGAGTTAAAAACAGATACTCATAGATTTACTGACAACCATGGGCATACAATTACTGAATCACAGCATACCATAAAACACAGACCAGGACACAGAAACCTTGGTATACATAAATCCTGGGAAACCAAATTATGAAGACATAATTCAAGTGCCTATAAATAGATATTATGATTCATACAGCCAAAGGAAAACCTACATAGCCACTAGAACACACAGACACACTGGCATGAACAAATATTTAACACACACAAGTTTTATGACAGGTTCAGGCACACAGAAATACAGATGCAATAGTACCAAATACCAGCACACAGAGACACTGGTATACATAGACAAAGGAACACATAGAACCTAAGATACAAGAACACAAAGAACTGGCACAGAAACTGAAACATATGGAAAACTAATCTCAGAACAAAGCAAAGTACTAACACTAGAATGAATAAACACTGAGGTGTGGAGACAGGAGGTTATAAGATGCCACTGAGATACAGGGATACAAAGACTGGAAAAAGTAAACACTGGGACACACATATGCCAAGGTAAACTGGCAGTGAGACACAGAAAAACTGGCACATACACTCAGGGGATTAGAGTCAATGGTGAGGCATGCACATACAGACAGAATTATATAGAATTGGTCTTTACAAATTCTGTGACACAGACACTAGAAAAAAAGACAGAGATCTAGAAATGTTAAGAAAAAGAAAACTAAGACACACATTCTGGTTAGGCAAACAGGTAATCTAACTGTAGATCTTCTTCTCTCCCTCTGCTCCTCCAAGTGTAAATCTCCCCCTCCCCCAAGTTTTGTTCCCAGCATTGCAGCAGAAAATCTGCTGCAACCTTCCTTACCTGCCTGCACCCATCTTCAGAGAATCACACAGATCTCTTCAAACTTCCTTCATTGACTCATTGATGTATCCCAGC